TGAAGATGGATGGATGGATGGATGGATAAAACTGTTGGTTTCCTAATGCAATGTTCTTTGGTGTTCCTTCAGCAGAGTCTCAGCTAGGGTCTAAGATTGGCTTCATGATGACCTTGCTTCATGGGAGAGCACTAAAGTGGGGACAGGCAGTATTGAAAACACACCCAACACTGACTTTCAATGAATTCATCAGTAAAATAAAAATGTGTTCAAGGACTCTCATCCTTCTCCACCTCAGCTCAATCCCACCACAGTGAGTAAAAAGGACTTCAATCTGAGCGGTCATCTCAAGCCAGTTCATTCTAAGACTGTTGATTGTTATAAAGTGTGACTGTTCGAATTCTCTTTGCAATATTGTTGGGTTTCAGTACAGTACAATATAAAGAACTTCAAGTAAACCGCTGTTGTGATTTGGCACTATATAAATAAAAGTGAAGTGAATTGAATTAAAAGAGTTTACAGTCATATATCTACTGATATTTCCAATGAACAGCAACTACAATAACATTAACTTATACTTTTCTATAATAAAGGTATTCTTGTTTATTAGATCTACATGACAACATGTAAACAGTACAGAAACGTAACCAAACAAAGCAGACACAACTTAACTCACAAACTGACCTAAACACAAAGGCACAACCTTTATAGTGGTTTGGCCAAACCATTTACACACAATAGGGGGAAACAAAAAAGAAACACCACTACTAACTAAACAAAAAATAACGTAACAAAACCAAAAATACCCCTGTTTCTGACAAGCACTTGGTTGGTACTGCTGAGCAGACATTATTGTGTTTTTCTCAGCCCTCGGCCACGCCTTTTGCGTGAAATGAGAAACAGCCACCTCCCCAAATCGGTTACTTAAAGAAAGAGAAACATAATTATTATAACAGGATACATTTTTTAAAACCACACAATGATGGTTTGTGTGCTTAATGCAAGGTGTGCTGCAGTCTGATATTGTGGCCATGATGGAACACTTTTTGTGTTTGTTGCGCACTCTTTGTTGAGCACACTACACAGGAAAATGCATCTCCATGAGAACATGTTTTAATAATAGTACAATATTTGAAGTACAGCACTTTTTAGAATTTTAACAACTCACCAGGGGATAAGTGGAACACTCATTCTTTATGTTCACACTGCATGTGGACATAAAGTAAGTGCATTGATAACATCATAAAATGATTTTTCCAGAACAACATTTGGAATATCTATTGGAATATTTATGTCCGACATCTTCCGAGTATGTGCTCAAAGTTTTACAAAAGTTTTTCATTGTACTTCAATCATTTTATTTTTAAGAGTCACTGCAGTGACTCTAGTGTTTCTGTGTTTCCTGCACTGCAAGTTAAATTCCAGTAAAAGATTACTTGTAATGATTACAAGACTTGTATTATTATTATTAAATGAACGTTAACATGATGAGGAATCCAGAACCATTTCTAATTGTATGTCAATTGAATTACAGTGTAGACATTTTTTCTACACTGGTAGTTTTTACAAATATCAGTGGAATTGTGAAAGACATTGAAAGAAATAAGGTTGTCTTCAAAGAGCTCATATCTTAGCATCCATCCTTTACATTACTGCCATCTTGTGGTTACAGCTTGCTATTGTCTTTGAAGCAGAATTAACACTAAAAATGGAGCCAATGGAATTTCTTTTAACCCTACCATGTCATCAAAGTAGCAAAAGAGGGCAACAAATGTCTTTTTAAAAAAAATGACGAATATGATTTGGTATGAAAAGCGTACTTCCGACTGAGAGTATGAGAAATAAAAATGGGGAGGAACTGACCACTGTAACAAAAATGGAAAATTATTTAGTTTTAAGAATAACATAGTATGAAGTCTGTAGGTTTTACTACTGTGAAATATAATGCCAAAGAAAGAGCCATAAAAATCTAGGTAATCAACAGGAAAGCCAGTAACCAGAACTCAATGGATGGATGTAGCTTCCAGATCTGAATAGTGAATGTGTTTTTTTCTAATGACCAACAGTGGGCATCGATTCTGGTTTCGTAGGTTGTGCACTGTATGACGTCAAGAGATAGTTTCCTGATAACTGGCTCTGTTGCTGGTATTACCTCTTATTGAATGGGACATTAATTTTATTTTGTAAATTATGATATTTATTTGATGTCACAAAGATGGCTAAACCAGAGTACATTCACTGGCTTGTCAGCCATAAAGAGCAAAGAGCATGAGGTGTCACACTGAGATCAAGTCCATTTTCAGAAAACCAACTAGTAGCTTCACAACAGGACTTTACCAACTTAGGGTAATAGCTCAGGGATGACAGAACTCTTTTAAACACAGACTCACTGGTTAAATGATTGACTAATAAATCTTTCTGTCTTTCTACAACCACAGGAATCTCCCCCTGCTGGCCTTTATCCTGGCTTAAGGCATTTGATGGTTTCTCTTTTCTGGCAAGAAGATACATCGATATTTTCCACGGTTTACACATACTTTTAAGTGGTTGGAATACAAAAATTAATAGTTTGGACGTTGGGATATTTTAAATACATGAACAAAAAAAAGTATTTCAACACAAATATACTTTTATTATGAAATGCTCATTTCTTATCCGCCGGACGACCTGCTTGAAAAATATCACTTCCGGTGTGTGCGTGAGAGGCGGAACAAGCGGCCCTACAGAGGGAACAAAGGACGGTTAAGTGAATTGCTGTATGTTGTTCCCAGCATGTGTGTATATATAAATATATGCACGAATTTATATTTTAAAAAGTGTCACTGTTGCATTTTGTAACTTCGGGGAAGAAGCGGGAAAACGATTTCATGTGCCAGAGGAAACTTGGGCTGGTTGATTAATTGATGTTGGTTGATAGCGGGAGCTGGTTACTTCTTCGTTAACCTAGCTTTAACAGCAAGGCTTATACAGACGTCGCTTAAGCGTTTTGCTCTTTAAAAGTGTCACATAGTTTTGAATGAAAGCATATTCGTGTTTGCTTACTTTTACTGTTTGGACCTAGAGTCATTAAATTCGATGGATAACTCGTATGAATATGGGACAAAGAGGTTTTGGTGTCGGCGAGTTTAGCTAGTAGGCCTTGTAAGCTAATGCTAACCCGTTTAACCCAGTCAGTCATTGTTGTTGTTATCCGCTCATTTACCGGTGCTTTTTTCTTCTGCCTCGTTCTACGCCGAAACTACAAAGTGGACTGTAGTTGAGTTCCTTTCTCTTTATGTTTCCCTCTTCAGCTTAACCAGCATGAAAATAGCCTCCATTCCGTAGGCCGCTCCTCAGCTGCGATGTCAAGTAAGTAAATAAATCAGTCATTGATATCCTTTATATGCCAACACCTGTCTCATTCTATGGTTCATAAATATATATGCGACCAGTACAGTGGGGGAAAGATGCAGGAATACTATTTCATTAAGTAAGGGACTCAGATAACATAAAGCAAATTTATGCGCTGTTTTTGCACATAGGATGCCGTCATGCAGAATTTTAAGCTTTAGGTTGTCATGCTTCATAGTGTCATCTTGTCTAGATCGGTGGGCTTTTCAATAAAAACGACATTGAAGAGTGTGTACAGTTGCACTATTTCTCATAGAATCAGATTTGTGTCCAATATGTACTATCTGCCTCTTTAGTCAGTTCCTTGTGTTGTGTATAGACTCAAAGTCAACTGATTCAAACTGGAGATAGTGATGTTAGCCTTTGTTCTGCTCTGCGGTCACATTGAGTTTGACGTTGCAGTGAAATGAGGACTGTGGACTTGAAATGCAGAACACAGTGGTGGAGTTTGAAAATGTACAACGGACAGTTAAGACCTCGAAGAGCATCAGAGTAACACTCAGGACCAGCACAGGCTGGTCGATAAAGTGAAATGCTACAGATCTATTTTTTTTGGCATTAATGGAAATATAAAAATAAGGAATTGTCTATGGCTGAAAACTGAAAGTAATATTGAATTGCAAAATGTACCTGGGTGACAGCAGCAGTCAGTTGGATTACCTCATATAGAAGTTCATCTGTTTTCAGACATTCATGATGCAGAGGAGTGAAAAATGGGGCTGAAGTACTTTCACAGTAGACAGTTAGGAAGAACCCTCACTGTTCACACTCAAGTGGTATTATTGTCAGGCAAAAGTAAACAGCGGGGAAAACATGTCATTTGTACACAGCAGGTATGCAAGGGTTGACTAACATTTTTTTTTCTTTTTCTCTCTTTCTTTTTAAACTTTGAACAGAACGACCATCCTACGCTCCTCCCCCTCCCCCTGCCCCAACAACAGTAAGTGTCCCACTTTTAGCACCAGTCTTAGTGTTCATGGTTTAGCGGCCAAGGGCCATGTTATTTTTTTTGCTTCTTTTCTTTGTTACTTTCCTTTAAATCTTTAATGTGTGAACGTGCCAAGGTTGCCACAAACCTTGTTCTTCAGTTCTCCATCATCGCTTTCACCCCTTTTTCCTGTCATGCCACACGTTTTCTTTAGGTCTTGCACCAAAGGTGTTTGAGATTACTGATGGGGATCAAGTTAGTTTGTTATTTGACTGAAGAGCTTTGCAGAATCTACCTTGGCTGATGTTATTAGTAGACATATATGTGAAGTAACAGAGTCAACATGCTTGTTTTGATGCTTTTCATTTCCTTACATTCAGATGCAGTGCAAAGCACTGTGTAGAGCTGAAATCTGCTGATACACACTCAGTTAAATAAGTTTTTGTTGTGCACTAATTCTTAATGCCACCCAGTTGCCTTTTTTGCCTTGCATGATAAGATCATGGAACAAACAAATCAAAAGGTCAACATATATATATATATATATACATGTATTTTCATGTTTCCCCCTCCTTTTCACTTATTTATGTTTATCCCTCTTCCCCCTCTTGTGTGTGAGCCATTTCTCATTCGTGTTTTGTCTCATTTGTCTTCCATCAGCAAATGCCTTCCACCCCAGGGTTTGTGGGCTACAACCCTTACAGCCATCTGGCCTACAACAACCTCCGACTGGGAGGGAGCTCCGGAGGCTCCAGCAGGGTAATGAATTGATGGAGCGATTTGAAAAACAAATTAAATGTAACAGAAAGTGTAAAGCACAAGTAAATGTTTTGGATTAAAGAAAGGGCCCAGGTATAAGAAGAATGATAGGATTGTAAGAAAGGCTTAGACTGTATATATTGAAGTGGGGAAACTGAATATATGACTTGCAGCTTTAAAGAGCTTCAGTTGCGTGCATAAATGTGTGTTGAAAAAACAAATTAATGCATTAAAAAAAAAAAGTAAGATGTGATGTCAGTTGGAACGTAACGTTTGATAACAGCTCTGCTTTTGGAAAAAATATAAACTGAATAAGATTTATTTTCATATTGACCTGGTGGGGGGGGGGAATAACACGTTTTCAACGTGACCAATCCGGCCTTAACAGTTCCTGCACGGCAGTTAGCAGTAATCAAGTCAGAACGTATATCTGCTCTTGTCGGACTAGAACACAAGCCTTCCTGTGGGTGTGCATGGTGGCATAGGCAAAACACTACCTTTGTGGTGAATGTGTTCCTTTATTGTTTGAATTATCTTCGAAAGATGTTTTGCCCTAGCCAAACGTTGCTAGTTCTTTCAGCACAACCTAAAACCGAATCTGAGATAACTTGTATCACAACAGTAGTTGCCAGCCTTTTGTTAAACAAGGTTTTTTCCTTCAGGCTCTGAGTGCACTTGCATAAAACAAGATATATTACAGCAGAACAAAACACAGAGAAAGCAATGCTACAGGAAACTGTTCACTTTGAAAATGTATTTATTTTCCCACTCATTGTGCACTCAGTCAGTGGTGCTGTTTTCTAACATGAACACACATTAGAGCTGGCAGCTTGATTTGTTCACACGTAATCCTCTAGAATTCCAATCCCAAAATAAAGACAATGTTGGAATTTTATTTTTTTTTGTAACAAAATCAAAGTGAACAGCCAAAACAAAAAAAAAAACACCCAGTTAGGGGGTGATAGCAGCCTGTGAAACATCTAAACATCATTTGCCTTACAGAGATGCTCTGAAACACTTAAAGCCATTCTTTGGCTTGTAGAACATCTTAACACATCAAAATTGTTTTTATCGGACTGTATGAAAGCATTAAGGAACATTTCAGTATTGTGTATTGTCATGTTTACATTCACATCTGTTGTTTTACCTTTTCCACAAACCATATCAGACCATAATCAGCAGATGTTTTATGATAGTTTTTGTTTTTTCTGTTCACTCTCTAAACCTGGCCCTTGTTTGTTTGTTTCCCTTTGGCTTCATACCTTCCATCTCTCCATTCATACTTTTTCCTCCTTCTTCTTTGTGCCCCCTCTCTCCTTCTTTCCACAGAACTCCTCCGGCATCACCGTCCCAAAGCCTCCCAAACCACCAGACAAGCCACTGATGCCATACATGCGGTACAGCCGGAAGGTAAGCAGGAAGGTAAGACACCCATCCACGGTGTCTGCTTTTACTGCTTGTCCTCCCATCCCCCTGAAAAGCTGGCAGGGGTTTGAGGGTGGGAAACAGCCAAGCCATGACGCCTCACCACCACCTCAGCCACCTAGTGGAGGCTCTCCACTTTGTTTCCGTTGACTCACAGTAGCCTTCTGTGTTTGTCAACATGCAAAATTGCTACATCTCCATATGTTTCCTCGTACAGGGATAATCTGTCCCTGGCACTCTATTTTTCCCCCTTATAGGCTCATCTCTTGCCTGCTTTTCTCTAGTTTCAGAGCTTTAATTTTAACACTGTATGCTCAAAAACAAAATGTGATCTAAAGGATCCTGCATTTAGAAAAAAATTGAATTCCATATATAAGTGAATATTTTCCATCATGCTTTCTTGCAGCACTTGAGTAGTTATGCTTTTCCTTACTAATAATTTCATCCAGTTAGATCTTACAACTGTTTCTTACCTCTGTACTTTGCCTCCTGTATTTCCTTTGTATTGTAACAGTCAACGTCATTTGATCCTGCCTGATTGTGTGTGTGTGTTAATGTGAATATGAAAGGTATGGGACCAAGTAAAGGCTTCCAACCCAGACCTGAAGCTGTGGGAGATTGGAAAGATTATTGGGGGCATGTGGAGGGACCTGAGTGATGAAGAGAAGCAGGACTACCTTAATGAGTACGAGGCTGAGAAGGTAAGGAGCAGCAAGAGTCTAAGGCTACGTTCACACTGCAGGCGAAAGCGCATCAAATCCAACTTTTTTGACCCTCTGCGACCCATATCCGATCATGGTATGACAGTGTGAACGGCACAAATCCGATATTTTCAAATCTGATCTGGGTCACTTTCGTATGTGGTACTGAATCCGAGTCATATCCGATGTTTCAGAAAGCGACTGCTGTTTGAATGTTCATGTCGCATTAAATCCGCCTTTTGCATCACTGACACAAGACAGACGCCAATTATTAGCGCCGGAGACGTGCCCGAGAAGACATTGTGAATGCTTCCTGGTCATCCAGTGCAGATGGGTTAGGGTTAGTGAAACTGTTTGGAAGTCAACGTTGGAGAAACGTGAACATTTTATTTGTACTGTATAATCTGCAGATTCTGACAGAAATCTGCAACTATCCTTTGAAGCACCGCTCCTCTAAAACAGCAATAAGGATAATTATTAGGCCATATGTAAATAACACAATAACTTTATAACTTAAAGCAAAATTGGGAAACGTAAAGTCCGAAGCAAGTCTTTATGTTAAGGGCCATCAGTCAAACAATACTGTTTGGTCTGGATCTAAACAGAGCGCGTTGTGTGTGACGTCTTCTTTTGCGCATGCGGCCGCTTTGAGGGTTCACACTAGAGCGCGTTTGCTGTCACATTTTATTTGTAGTGTGAACAAGCAGACAAGAAAATCGGAACTGAGCATTAAGATCTACAGTGTGAACGTAGCCTAAATTTCTTTTGTAAGTAACCCGTTGCTCTTGGATACCTTCCCTACATGTTGGCAGCTCAACAGCAGTTGTAGAAGTGACAACTAAAGAATCCCTGCATTGAAAAATAAGAAATGATCAGAGTTGTTTTAAAGGGCTTGTTTTCTTTTCCTGTCCCTCTTCCTCTTAGATTGAGTACAATGATTCTTTGAAGGCCTACCACAACTCACCTGCCTACTTGGCCTACATCAACGCCAAGAACCGGGCTGAGGCGGCAATGGAGGAGGAGAGCAGGCAGAGGCAGTCACGTATGGACAAAGGAGAGCCGTACATGAGCATTCAGCCTGCTGAAGATCCTGATGGTAGGTTAATTCTGAAGATATCTATGATTTTGTAATCATGGCTTCACAATGCAAATGTAATGCGCTTAAAATAAACACTGACCTGTCTGTGTCCTCGTCATGGTTCTGCCCATCTTGTCTTTTCGCTCCACCTAGATTATGATGATGGTTTCTCAGTGAAGCACACAGCAGCTGCTCGCTTCCAGAGAAACCACCGGCTCATTAGTGACATCCTCAGTGAGATTGTGGTGCCTGACGTCCGCTCTGTGGTCACCACAGCCCGCATGCAGGTCCTCAAGAGGCAGGTCCAGTCTCTTATGGTGCACCAGGTATGTTAGCAGGACATTTTTGCTTCTATTTTGTTACTTTGTTTATAAGCTTGTAAAGCTAGTGTGGTGTTACTATTAGTCAAACTCAATTCAAAAGCATTGTTTACACTTTAATATAAATGTGCATTCCTCAAAGGGGATTGGCTTTCTTGTGACAAGATTTTTGCTTACAACCAAAAGTAGTTGCACTAGTTTTATAAACTGTTTCACATTTAAAAGGAAGGATCTATTCCTGCTGATTGATTGCTTGTGATTTCAGAGGAAACTTGAAGCTGAACTTCTTCAGATCGAGGACCGCCATCAAGACAAGAAAAGACGTTTTCTGGAGACCACTGACTCATTCAATACTGAGCTGAAGCGGGTAAAGCAGCACTGTTTATTTACCTAGAGAGAGCTGAGTGTGTAGGAAGGAAGAGCTTTATTTCTAGATGACTAAACATCCCTTTAGATAGAAATTTGTCACCACAGACTGTTATGTGTTGTAAGTATAGGCCTACTACTTTCCCTTTGCCTTCAGTCTTATGACATTTGCAACTTTTTAAATTTTGTTTAATTGAGAGTCTTGTGTGTTTCCAGCTGTGCAGTCAGAAGGTGGAAGTGGATATGGAGAAACTAGCAGCAGAGATGGCTGCTGCTGAAGAGGCAGCAAGGCGCCGGGCAGAGGAGCGGGAGCGGGAGGCCGCTGAGCAGGCGGAGAAAGCTGCTCAACAGCAACAGGAGGCTGCTGGAAACAAAGCTGCAGAGAAGAGCAGCACTAATGCTAGCCCCACCTCAGGGACCAAGGAGGAGGACAAACCTACACCAATGGAGACAGGTACCAGTGGGGGGGACACAGAGACATACACAGGGGGGTGGGGGTGGGGAGGGTGTCTGGTTGGTGAGTCTATCCTTGGGTGCTTCATTCTGCAAGCCAAATATCCTTGGGAAAAATACAATCCCCAAGATTCATCCATCGATATGTGAGAATTTTTGAAAATATTTAAATATAGAAGGAAAGTGCTTGTGTGAATAAGGCATGTTGGATAAAACGCTTTAAATCTTAAAACTTGTTTGGATTTAAGTACAATCATAATCCACCTGATAGCCACTGGGTTGATGGAGGAGTCGTTCAAAGCAGTTTCACTGTATATAGATAGGTTTGGTCAGTTTTAGTTAATTTTTTCTTTAACTGTTTTATTAATTTTGCAGAGCTCACAAGAAGCAATGAACATTTAATTCAGATTTACTGGGACGTTACCCAGTTATGACTCCCCCCCTTTGATGTGTACTATAATGCCTTCATTATTTGTATTGATTTAATTGTGGGACCAACAGAATGAATGAAAAGGCTTTTTTTTTTTAATTACTCCAAATTGTAAATGTTGCTAATGACTAACATGGATGTCAGCTTATTACTAATAGTTAAACAGCTAGCTAATGTGCTGCATGATAGGTTAACATTTATGAAAACTGTTTAGTACTTAGATGTTGTTGAACCAATACTTCTACTGACCTCTCAAAGTGCTTTAGTGCTTGTACAGCGCTTTGAGGTGACTGTTGTTTTCGATTTGATAAAACCGGATTGGATTGAAACTGCTGTAAACGTCAGGAACAGCTACTATTACTTTAGTTTTAGTTGAGTTTTACCTTGTTTTAGCAACATCTCAAGTAAAATTAATCAAAACTGAGCAGAGTTTAGTGGACGCAGCATTAAACATCGTTTATACAAATATTGCACTTTTAAGAGTGGTTTAACAGTTAATTCTATTCTTCATTAATCAGGTTTTAAATGTCAATGACATGTGTCCTTAAAGACGGCGTATTTCTTAAACCAGATGTGTTTATACCAAATCTGCACCCATTCCTTTCTTTAGATGAGGCCGCACCTGCAGAGCCGCTTTCAGACCCCCAGGTGGCTCCACCACCACCATCTGATACTTCATCATCTTCCTCTGATAAAGCAACACCTCCCCCTGAGCTCCCCAGGGAGAGCAGTACTCCCAACAGCAGTGCCCCCAGTGATGATGGGGGCAGCAGCAACAGCATGCCTCCTCCACCCTCAGACATCCCACCTGGAGCAGCAGCATCAGGAGCATTCCCAGACCCACCTGTAGGCCAAGAAGCCAACCTCAGTACAGCTAATCCTAATGAGGCCGCAGCACCAGCCCCTCCCTCAGAAGAAGCAACTCCTCCTCCTCCACCACCACCACCACCACCACCACTACTGACCCCCAGTCAGAGCAGCCAGCAGTACGATATGTAGTAGTGCTGGCTGTACAGTGATGGGTGTAGATGTCCTCCTGGTGCTGCAGCTCTCCCTCTCTGGATGGAGCAGCAGTGTTGTAGTGATGCAGAAGAAGTGGCTCTGTAACAGCTGAGAAATACTGATTGGTTGAGAGGTGTAAAAGTAAAGTCAATACAAAAGAAATAGTGCGAGTGACGTAGGTTTTCATCATCCAGCTTCATGTAGCTGCACCAAACGCAGGGAAAGTAGGATTTCCTTTAAAGCTCTGTATGCTTCCTGTAACTTTACTCAGCATGCCTGGTCTGGTAATCTGACTTAATCGAAACGTCACCAAAGAGTACAACACCTGGCCCTCTTTGAGTTTGTGCTCCAGGCACTGTGAGAGCATTTCCTCTTTTCTAATCATGTCACTTGATGTTATTTTTTTTTTAAAGTAAGCAGATACACACTCAGAAATAGGATAACACAGGGCTGTGAAACAACTGCTCAGCACAAACCGCACCACCGAGTCTGAAAGTCCATTTACTTTTATCATCAGGGTTTGTATCACGACTGACTTCAGAGTGAAACGGCTTCAGATGAACGAGAAAAAGCAGCCACGTGCCCCTTATAGTTCAAAGAAACACCTGAGATAAGGCTTACTGTATAGACAGGATGTGGTTGAAACGCACACATCTGCATGCATTAAGCACATTAACAACCAGTCACAACATTGAAACCACCTCCCTGCTGTTGTCCACCTCATTACTGCAGTGTCAGTGTATCTATGATGTTGTGCTGCTGCAGCAGCTTGTTGGTATGCAGCAGCGATTAGGTGAATCTCAACAACCAGATAAAGGCTGGTAGCCAAGTTTCCCCAGCACAACTGTGATGATAATGAGAGGTTTCAATGCTGTGGCTGTTACGCTCCATGTTTATGTGTTTATGTTTTGGACCACTGCAGAGTTTTATTTTGTGATTCATTTTGAGAAACCTGACATATGTTAAAGGGCCAGCTCTGACAAAAGGACCTCAATATTTTCGGCTCTCACTTATTGAAAAACCTCAATTTTCTAGATAAATTTAATTTGCAGAACTACTACTGTTACTTTTTCGTCTTTTGAGATTTAGTGAACCTTATTAAACGAGTGTAATCCAGGTCAACCTTGGTAATTTGTACTCTTGAATCAGATGCCATTTTAATACACACCCTTGTAAAGTCAGCATCAATTGATTTTTCCATATTCTGCATGTTTGGCTATGTACTAACCTTACCCATGTATGAATCTGAGTGCAGGTCTTGTGTAGCTGGAGATGAGGAAAATTAAAGTTCAATACAAAACGCATGAAGATCCCAGCAAATAAATAATGATGGGATCATCTCCAGGGTATTTTTAAAAAAATCTGAATAACATGTCTTGCTTTGAGTGTAAAACATTAACATGGATGTTTGTTCCCCTGTATTGAAGTCTAAGTAGAAAGAACTGACACTTGTACGCAGTTAATTTAATTTTTGCTCATTTAACCTGTAAAAGCTTCTCTGTGAGGCGAGGCTTTTGTTTAGACCACAGATTCCTGCTGGCACTACATGCATCTAACTTCACCAGAGAAATGCACAGGTAACCTCACTTATGCATTCAAAGGACTGTTTTCTTACTTGGACTGTTTTTTGGTAGTATGCCTGTCTTTTTTTTGTTTTTTTGCATTTTTCTTTTCTACTGTCTGAACTTGTTGACCCAAATAAAGATGATTTGTCTTTCTGCTACACCTGCTGTGTATTTTTTGTTGTTGTTGTTTGTTTGTGTGTTTTTGTCTCCCGAATGGAAGACTGGATAAGGGGGTTAGTGACAATTTCACTCTCGAAGAAAGATGTTAAGAGTGAGCCAGTGGGTTTTGCTAAGAGGAGTGCTCAGCAACTTGATAGAATCTGGTACCGAAAGCATATACAGGTCCTCCTTAAAAAAATTAGCATATCATGAAAAGGTTCTCTAAACGTGCTATTAACCTAATCATCTGAATCAACGAATTAACTCTAAACACCTGCAAAAGATTCCTGAGGCTTTTAAAAACTCCCAGCCTGGTTCATTACTCAAAACC